TGTAAATTCCAACTCCAGCACTATGAGTCCAAGCCTCCTTCTCCTCAAGTCAATGACAAAACTACCATTGACTTCAGAGGGAGTAGGATCAACCCCCAAGATGCCTCCTTCTTGGATTCTGTAGGAGGCACTCAGTCACGCAGTACATACATTAATGTGTCAGAGAAGCACTGATGTTTAACCATCCATTACTCTCCAGGGTGTATTGAATAGATACTTGGAGACCCTAGCATGGTACCATAGCATCTACAAAGCAACTCAGCAGGGCTACAGGAGCTCTACTAAATTGGGAAGTTCGGACCAATGGATTCATGTAGCCATGAACCTGAAGTGACAGAAATATGGTTGGGAGCACTTTTTGTTTAGATTATCACTAGATTCAATCAGAACTGGGATCCACAATCTATCATCATCCAATCTTTAAGGTCTCAACCATTTTTGACTTTATGCATTACCCTGTATGACAGCACAGTAAGGTGTGTGTGTGTGTGTGTGTGTGTGTGCCATACCAAGAGTCCTAGACCACTGTGATATCAGAGGTAACACAATCAATCATCACTCGTACTCTACAGCTAATCTGCATGCAACAATTTCATTGGCTGTATAACAGGAACTGCATAGATGGTGGATTACTTGACCCAGCTGCCATGCTCATGTTACAGCGTGGGGTTTTTAGCTACTAGTGATATTTGTAAATTGCTCTGAGTTGCATTTTAGAACGAAGTATGATCATTATTATTGTACATTAGAAAGAGCTGACAACTTTTCTATTTCTTGTTGCTCAGAATACTTTTATTGCTGAAATAATCCATCTTTACTGTTAAAATAATCCAATTGCTGGTCTAGCCCTAAACACACAAAAGTTCTGTACAGTTTCAGTAGTGATATATTTGTTACTGTTTGGAATTCTAGGCATCGTGTGAGAAACTATTTTGTATGATATTCCTCTGTTAAATTTAAATGATGAATGGTATTGAGCACCATGAATTGGCCATAACATGCAAAGACTGCTAAAATGGGAACATGTATTCACTAGTAATGAAATTCACCCCTTAGATTAGGATTTAACTAGTGCATAGGCCATGTGTGCCCTCTTTACTCAGGGATAAAGTTCACCTATTGTATCAAAGCTGGAGGTCTTTACTCATACCTTGAGATTTGGGTGTAGCTCAGTAACACAGTATACATGTTCTCATGGAGCTTGACTTGTCTGTGGAACTATTTTTCCATTCTGCTGAAAAGGAGCTAGTTACAGTTCTGTGGGAGGATCCACATCCACTGTACGTGCTAGATAAAGAAACTTTGCAAAGCAGACTTCTCTTTCTGTGGCCCAAGCAGTCATTGGTCAGATGTTCCTTATCCATTTTTCCTATGCATCTTCTATACACAGAGATACAGTACTTATGTGTACAACCTTCAGTCTTATTGCAGCTGTGCTTTCACTCTCTTGCATTAGAGAGCTTGGGGAAAATGCTGAGCCAAATTCACCCCTGGTGTCAGAGGAGTTATACCAGATACTAATTTGGCCCAGTGTACACTCCAAGTATTGTTTCATGGATTAGGCTCTGTAACACTCTATACCTCGAAGGAGTGCCCTGTAACTCCCATATTCATCATTTGTATATAATTGTGATATTTCATATAAAGCATGTTATGTAAGGTATCATGGGAATGGCTATGATCTGCTGAAAGCCATTGTTCTATCTAAATATGTATATCATTAATGCATATGAAGTTATGAGATTGTGTTGTATGGTTGTCACTAAACTATGTTGTGAGTTGGGGAATTGCCAAAATATTAGCTCTCCAGAAACAACAGCAAGGGAGCTAAGCAGCACTGGGGGGTGTCGAACAACTATCAGCAGCCATTGTCTAGCAAGGGAGTTACAATTCGATGACTCCCTTACACAAGGCCACACCAGGGGAATTGCTCAACCTTGTCTGGTGACTCATCAGTGCCCACCAGACATGCTTGGACTTGTGTTCCTCAAGCACATGGAATAAGGATATAATATAGGGAACAGAGGCCGTATGGTTTAGCCTGTCTCTTCTCCCACCTGCACTGAAGGCAATGAGAACACTGGAGCGGAGGAGACTGGTCCCCAGGCTAACAGGAAGAACTTGCATATGAAAGACTGCAACCAAACTGCAGTATCCAATGGCGTGAGAAAAACTACTTAATCCACATATTGCCTAGTCCAGGGGTCAGCAGCCTTTGTCAGGCGGCCCATCAGGGTAATCAGCTGGCAGGCCGCAAGACATTTTTTTATGTTGACTGTCCGCAGCTTCCAGTGGCCACGCTTCGTTGTTCCCCGCCAATGGGAGCTGTGGGAAGCTGCAGGGCCTTTTGCCTATCACTTAAAATCCATCTTTTTAAATCAATAAACTTATTCTAATGTTTATCCTTAGCAGGGCATTTGACTGAAGTGCTTGGTAAATCTGCTCAGGTTACAAAGGCTCTGAGCCCCCTAAATTGGTGGGCTTTCCACCATTGATGAAGTGGTGAACCAATTAATAATCTTACATTGCTCAAGAGGGAATATTCCTGAGGTACAAGACCGGGAGCAGGGAGGATTTGGCTGGTGCCTTTCTCTGTGTGATTGGTGAGTGGCTCTGGGAGCATTCATGCAATCTAGATGGGTGTGGGACGCCACATGCAGTTGTACTGAGTGGCAACAGCACCTGGAAGGGTTGCTGCTTGTCACCAGTAAGGCATTGTGAGAGACAACCCAGCTTAGTGAGGTAAGGGGGGCACAGCAGTCCCAGGTTGTATCCCTAGGTTCCTGTCACAGGCTCACACACTTTAAAGGAGCCCACCGTGAGTATTAAAGAGGGTGATTTTTAAAGGAAGAATAATTCAATGTAAGTGCTCTTTTGAGTTGTAATTGAAAAGGTCAAGAAGTTCATGTATCAACCATGAATGGATAAAAGGGGCTCGGAGTACAGGCAGGAGTGTGAGCTCTGGCTGGGGTTGTAGGCTTTGGGAAGGGGCCAGAGATGAGGGGGCTCTGGGCTAGAACAGGGGGTTAGGGTGGGGGTGTGAGGGCTCTGGACTGGGGGCGGGGGTGCAGGCTCTGGGGTGGGGCCAGGGATGAGGGGTTTGGGGTGCAGGAGGGGGCTCAGAGCTTGGGATGCGGGCTTTGGGAGGAATTTGGGTACAGGAGGGGACAGCAGTCTGGGGCAGGGTGTTGGGGTGTGGGAGGGTGTTCAGGGTTACCCCAGCTCTCAGGAAGTGGCCACCAGGTCCCTTCAGCACCTAGAAGCATGGGCATCCAGGGAGGCTCCATGCACTGCGCTTGCGCCCACAAAAAGGTGCTGCCCGTGCAGTTCCCATTGGTTGTGGTTTCCAGCCAATGGGAGCTGCGGAGCCAGCACTAGGGGTAGGGGCAGGGGCAGCGCCCAGCGCCATCCTCACCACGCATGTGCCTAGGAGCCGCAAGGACCTGGTGGCTGCCCACTTCCGGGAGCTGCACAGAGCTAGGGTAGGCAGGGAACCTGCTTTAGCCCTGGGCCCCCAAACCTGGACTTTTAATGGCTTGGTCGGTGGTGCCAACCGGAGCCGCCAGCGTCCCTTTTCGACCAGGCTTTCCAGTCAAAAACTGGATGCCTGGCAACCCAAGGGGTCGGGGCAGGCATGGCTTGGGCGAGCATTGACCCTAGCCTCACGTAGGGGTGGGAAGGGGCTTGAACGATCTGTGACACTAGCCTTGAGCTGGGATGGGGAGCAGGGGCAGGCCTGACTGAGGTGAGCAGTGACCCCCCCAGCCTCATGGGGGGGTTGGGGTTGGCAGGCAGGGCTCTGGTGAGCAGTGACCCGTGTCACACGGGGCGGGGGGAGAGGCCAGGGCCAGGCAAGGCTTGGGAGAGCAGCCACTCCAGGTTCATGCAGGGGGAGGGCACGCAGGGTTTGGGTGATCAGCAACCTCCAACCAAACATGGGAGGGGGTGGTTTGCAGGCACGGCTCAGGCAAGCAGTGACCCCAGCCTCACATGGGGCGGGGCACAAAGGGCTCAGATAAGCAGTGACCCCCAGTGTCACGGGGGAGAGGGGCAGGTATGGCTTGGACAAGCAGCAACCCCAGGCGCTCGCAGGGGAGAGGAGGATTGGCCTGGCTCAGGCAAGCAGTCACCGCATCCTCACATGGGGTGGGGCAGAAAGGGCACAGACAAGCAGGGACCCCAGCCTCACGCTGGGAGCTTCAGGCAGGGCTTGGGGGAGCAGTGACTCCAGCGTCACGTGTGGATGGGTGTCCAGTAGGGCTTGGCCCAGCAGTGATCCCAACTTCACTTCAGGGTGGTGGTGGGTGGAAGGAAGGGCTTGAGTGAGCAGCTGTCCCAGCCTTGTGCAGGGGGCTGCAGACAGTGCTCAGGCAAGCAGCAACCCCAACCGGGCATAGGGGAGGCAGGGCTCAGGCCAGCCTCACACAGGGCGCTGCAGGCAGGGCTCAGGGGGGAAACGACCCCAGCCTCGCACGGAAGGGAGGCAGGCAGTTCTTGGGTGAGCAGCAACCGGAGTCACGCAGGGGCTGCGGTGGGGAAGCAGGTAGGGTTCAGGCATGCAGCAACCTCATCTTCGTGCTGGGGGAGGGGCAGGCAGGGCTCAGGCCAACCCCACGGTGGGGGAGAAGGGCTCAGGCCCCACCCAGTTTTCCCTTCAGAAGTATGGTCACCCTATACCCTCTAAACATGGACTAGACAGGATCAAACTCTTGTTAGTAGAACTTCTAGCCTGATACCACCTCTGGCCCGATCATGCTTGCCTTAGTGACGCAAACGCCTAATGACTGCAGTGGGAGTTTTATGTGACTAAGGCAACAAGATTTGTCTCACTCTGGCCCATATTTCCTCCTTGAAAAATCTCTTGATGCAAAAGCTGTTTTTAAATAACAGAATCCACAGCACCGGAGCCAGAGAACTTTGTTTACAAAAACTGTTGCTTCCATGTAAATGTTTTCTGAAAAACTAACAGGCAGGTGCAGACATATGTCTCTGTAACAGGATAGATTAAAAATCAATTTTATTAAGGAAACTAGCAATGCATCCCAAACCTCTCATCCCCGGCCCCAATTCTCTGCCCCAGCATGGAGCCCACTGCCCCCCATCCTGAACCCCTGATTTCTGGCCACAGCACCAGCCAGAGACCACATCCGCTCACCCGCCCCCCCCCTCCCTCCCGCACCCCAACTGCCTGCCCCAGCCTGGTGAAAGTGCATGAGGGTGGGGGAGAATGAGCAACAGCGAGAGGGGAATGGAGCCAGTGGGGGCAGGAGCTTGGAGAAGGGGCGGGGCCTTGGGGTGGGCCAGGGGTGTTCAGTTTTGTGCGACTAGAAAGTTGGCAACCCTACCTGCCCTCTCCCCTGCGCAAGGCTGGGGGAGTCACTGCTTGTCTGAGCCCTTGCTGCCCCCTCCTGTGTGAAGCGGGGGGGGGGGTCACTGCTAGCCCGAGCCCTGCCTGCATGCGAGACTGGGGGGGGTTGCTGTTTGCCCAAGCCCTGCCTGCCCCGTCCCCGTCCCCTACATGACACTGGGATCACGTCTCCCCCAGCCCTTCCTGCTGCTGCCCCCTCTGCCACTCGAGGCTGGGGTCACGGCTCACTCGAACCCTTCCCTCCCCCAAGCGGGGCTGGGGGGGTCGCTATTCACTAGATCCCTGCGTGCGAGGCTGGGGTGGCTGCTCTCTTCAGCCCTTCCTACCCCTTCCTCCCTATGTGAGACTGTGGGGGGGTGTCGCTGCTTCCCTCAGTTCTGCCTGCCCCGTTCCCCCCCTCCACCTCAGGCTGGGGTCGCTGCTCATCCAACCCCGGCCTGACCCCCTGGCCCCTGCATGGGGTGGGGGTCGCTGCTCACCCAAGCTCTGCCCCTTCTCTCCCCCTGCCCCCCATGGAAGGCTGGCATTGCTGCTTGCCCAAGCTCTGCCTACGTCCCCCCCCCGCGAGACCTGAGAAGCGACTCTCCTGAACCCTGCCTGTCTGCCGCTCCCGCGCAAGGCTGGGGGTGAAAGCTCGCAGGAGCCGTGCCTCTCCCACCCTGTGAGACTGGGGGTTGCAGCTCACCTAAGCCCTACCTGCTCCATCCCCCTCCCCCACACGGGGCTGGGTTCACGTATCCTCACAGCTCTGCCTCCCCCCCCTGCATGGTGCTGGCACCACCACTCCCCCCGCCGCACCTCGCTTTTTTGACAAAAATGGGCATTTGGCCTGTTTGCTTTTGTCAGCTGATGAAGTCAGCAAGAGCAAATGGGACAACTGTTGCCTTTGCCCAAAAAGTTGGGACAACCGGGACAGGGCTTAAAAAAGGGACTGTCCTGGCCGAAACGGGACATATCCTCACCCTCAGAGGGTGGAACATATAAGTGCAAAGTAGAAAGTGATGAGTGAGGGGAGCACACACAGACATTTTAAAGGGGGTTGCTGTGACAGGTTACTCCTGCCTACTAACTGGCAGGTGAAATTCACCCCTGTGCCGAGGGCTAACAAGTCCCTCTTACGCCTTCAAACAGGGTGTAAGTGGTGCACAGGTCCCATGCTGGCCATCTGCAGAGGGGTGCATTTCACCCTACAACAGTAGTGCTTAAATAAACACCCCATTAACTTGTTGAGGTTTTTGCTTAAGCCAATGACAGCCTTGCCCTGCTTGCTTGTTACCCTGTGCACTGTAAGTGGACAGAAATGGATCTTTACTACCATTCAGCACTTAATTTTACTGCTGAGCAAGTGATGCCTTCACTTGCACTTCCACTTCCACACTGGGGAAAGACTTGAAAGATGAAGGCCTAAATGACACAAACACACCTTCACAGCATTAAACAAATGGTTAGATGTCTGGCAATCCTTGTAGATGTAAAGCGGTAAGCTAAAAAGCAGTCATACAAAATACCATGTCTCTAATATTGAACACTTTATGTATTGCCATCCCATATGCAGCTGGTAAAACCAGAGGTGCCTGTGAGGTTATACATGCTTTCCAAGCTAATAGATTATGTGTCTAGATCAAAGCCCTATGTACTCCACAGCAAACTGGACCAGAATGCTGAGGCAATGGCCGTGGATCCTGCAGCCTTCTTGGGTTCCGCCGGTTTTTTTGCAGTGGTTTCAGTTATATTATTTTAAAATTGGTTTCTATGAATTAAATATGAAATGACTAATACAATCAGTACAATACTCACTGTGTTATATAGTTTGGTAATCAATTCAATCTACATTGTATGCTGTCCACATATTGCTGCAGATTTCTATAGCGACGATAGATACATCCATCATGGAAGTTGTCGGGAGAAGATGGAGGTTTTACTGGCTGGATAGGAAAAGTGTGGGAGGAAGTTTGGAGTGGAGGATTAATGTTAGCTAGATGCTTCAAGTCCAATGACCAGCAGTTAATACCTTTCCAAGTTATTTTCTCAGGCTGGGTGCAGGTACAGGAAGACAGTGCAGGATCAGTTTACTTGGTTCACTTTTCCAGGATTTTCTTCACAACTATGAGGGCTCAACCGTTTTTTGAAATGACAGCTTACAATCTGGCGTCTAATACTGTGCCAAATGATAGGCAAAAGGCGTGTAGTAAATTCTATGACCACAGAACAGCACAATACATGGCCCACCCATCAAGATAATTCCTTAAAATGGTTTCCTTTCAGGGCAGGCCTCCACTGCAAAAATATATAGAATGCCCTGCTGCAAATGACAGCTGTTTCATTCTGTTTTTGTAAAGCCTCAGATAGTTTAAAGTGTTTGTTGTAGGAAGAAGTCATAACTATTTTTTAAAAAAAGTCCACAGTTGTCAGTCTTCCATCAATCTCTTTGTTCTGCTATGTCATTACTGAAAATTTCGGAATGATTTCTTAAGCTGGCAAAAAGAAAAATAAGTCTTAGTCTTTAAATAACTAAAAACTAGTAATCAACTAAAAACTAGTTTCTAAATAACTAAACAGTCTTAGTCTTTAAATATCTGGTATAAAGGAACACTATACATTAAATGAAATCTTTAATTGCTTGTTTGGTTCTGTAAGCCAGGGGCTTCATTCTTGGAAATGATTAGATAATTCTGCTGTACCACTATAAATCAGGGCAAACTCCTGTGTGTAAAACTGGTAAGAGAGTAGGGTTGCCAACTTTCGAATTGCACAAAACCGAACACCCTTGCCCCGCCCCGTTCTCTGAGGCCCCACCCCTGCTCATTCCATTTCCCCACCCTCTATCACTTACTCTTCCCCACACTCACTCACTAGCTCATTTTTACTGGGCTGAGGCAGGTGATTGGGGTACAGGAGGTGGGGTGAAGGCTCTGGCTGGTGGTGGAGGCTCCAGGTGGGGCCAGAAATGAGGGGTTCAGGGTACAAGAGAATGGGGGGTGAGGTCTTCGGCTGGGGGGTGCAGGCACTGGGGTGGGGCTGGGAATGAGGCGTTTGGGGTGTGGGAGAGGGCTCTGGACTGGGACAGGGGATTGGAGTGTGGGGGAGTGAGGTCTCCCGCCGGGGATGTGGGGTCTCGGGTGGGGCTGAGGATGAGGTGTTTGGGGTGCAGGAGGAGTGCATGCTGCCTTCGCGCACTGGCGCTGTTCAATTCCCAGCCAATAGGAACTGCAGAGCTGGTGCATGGGGTAGTGGCAATGCATGGAGCCTCCCTGGCCGGCCCTGCGCTTTGGAGCCAGTGGGACGTGTCACTGCTACCAGGAGCCACGCAGAGCCAGGTAGGGAGCCTGCCAGCCCCGCCAACTGGACTTTTAATGGCCCGGTCAGTGGTGCTGACCAGAGCCGCCAGGGTCCCTTTTTGACAGATGTTCTGGTCGAAAACCAGACTCCTGGCAACCCTAAAAGTGAGAAGAATGAAATCCATTGACTTCACTGAGGCTTACATGAAGAATTTGGCTCCAGCTATTTGCTTAAGAGAGGGTCCAGCCCTAAAACTTTGGTTCCATACTCTTAAGTGAAAAAGTAATAGACCATGATGATTACCCATCTGACTTTTTAGCTAGACCACTTTCTAGTTAATCTCTTTTACTAAGCTTTTGTATCTTGAACAATAAAGAAAAAAATCTGTTTCTTATTGATGGTGAAACTGTAAGAGCAGATCAGTCAAAAAGGTGATCATTTTCACTTTTACACAAAACCAGTGAAACCCTAAATTCACTAATTTATTTGGGCATAAGCTTTCATGGGTAAAAAAAAAAAACCCACTTCTTCAGATGCAGCATGATGCTTATGCCCAATTAAATCTGTTAGTCTTTAAGGTGCCACTGGACTCCTAGTTGTTTTTGTGGATATAGACTAACACAGCTACCCCTCTGATACCTAAATTCACTACCTTTGCTGTCCATGTAAAATAGTTCAAGCTGTTTTGAAGGCTAATGCTACCTGTTAATTTCACACAGTTTGGTATAGATCTCAACCAATCGCACTTGGAGTTCTAGACTGACAAGGCATTGCTGATGCCACATAATAGTATTGCCCTCATTACCATGAGTCACCGGTGCAGTTAACTTTGAGAATGCTTCCCTGCCCGTTGTCTGTCCTGGCTATTTAGATTATAAGCTATTTAGAGCAGAAACTATCGCTTGGTAGGGGTACGTACAACACCTAGCACAAAAGGGCCCTTGGCTGGGCCTCTAGCCACTGCTGAAATAAATACAATTGTAATCTCGTGTCAGCATGTTCTGACATTAGAATACGCAAGCAACCAGAATAAAATGAATTCTTACACTCCGTAGAAAAGCCTTAAAGTCAATTTTTGGCTGGGGAGGACTTTTTATTTCCTTTTTACTGGTGGGGAGTTCCCATGGGTCTAGCTCTGCTGTTGCCACAGCAGGAAACTGCATCTCTGGTGTTCCTGGCATTGAGGCTGATGAAGTTGATGGGAATGTTTCACTTCTGCTCAGGCGTCTTGGAACTACTGTCTCTGAGCACCCAGCTCTAGGATGCATAGTGTCAGCAGCATCTGGAACACCTTGTTTATTCTGGGCATTTCTTTCTTCCCACCTATCAGGGAGTCCAAGCTCTGAAAACAGATGGGATTGTTCTCCTAGTAATTGGTCCAGCTGCTGCAGAGAAAATAGGGAAGACATGCATATTGTAGTAATAAAGAATTATAAAAGGTATCAGACAGTGATACACAGGAGAGGTTATGAAGCATGTCCATTTCTTATTCTTGGTCAAAAAAACTAAGTATAATTTGGCAGCTGAGATGCTGCTGTGAAAAGGATTCAGTAATAAATTTCAATCCCATGTTCATGTTTCAGTAACATAAATTTCAATCCTATTTTACTGTGACTGACTGACATATTTGCCTTAGTACAACCCCCCCCCCCCCCCCGCTCCACCCAACAGACCTCTGTGGCTGTGTATGGCAGCCCTGGATTGAAAAGGGTGTATCTTAACAAATTGTGGCCCAGATTCACCAGTGTGTGCCATGCAGGCACTGCAAAGTGAATGGACTCAATCTGGAAATGGCTAATGGACAATTCCCATTGTGGAGGAGAAAGCTGGTGGACATGTTGGGGCAGGCACAGAGTGCTGCTTTGTCAATTCAACTGTTCTTCCTCAGCTACTGTAAGTGACACTAAAACCAGGTAGAGCAGTCCTGGGGAGATACAACTCTGGTGGCCATCTCTCTACTCTGCACTAAATGAAGATGGGACTTCCTTCTCCCCTGACCCCAATTTGAGTTGTGTTTTAGGGCTTGTCCACAACAGGGGAAAATGGCAAGCACAGCTAAAGCACAACAAGTAATCCTCTACAGCAGGGATTCCCAAACTGGTGGTCGGGACCCCTGAGGAGTTATTACATGCGGGGTTGTGAGCTGTCAGCTTCCATCCCAAACCCTGCTTTGCCTCCAGCATTTATAAGGGTGTTAAATATACTTAAAGGCCTTTTTAACTTATGGGGGGGGGGGTCACACTCAGAGGCTTGCTATGTGAAAGGGATCACCAGTACAAAAGTTTGAGAACCACTGCTGTACAGTAACTCCCCACGTGAACACTCTATTCCACCATAAAAGTGACTTTATCAGAGTAAATATTCCAAAATAAAGTAATTTTTATCATTACTGGGCTCTAGTCAATTTCCCTGCATAGCTAAGTCCTTAGGGAGGCAACATAGGCTAGGAAAGAAGAATGGTTCAGTGATTAGGGCATTAGCTATAGACTTGGGAGAACCAAGTTCAGTTCCCAGATCTGTCAGACTTCTTGTGTTATCTTGGGCAAATCACTTGAGAAGAAATTCATAAAGGTGTTTAAGTGCCAACTCCCATTGAAATCAATGGCATTAGATGCCTAATACCTTTGTGAATTTTACCCCTAGTCTCTCTGTGCCTCAGTTTCCCATAGAGTCAATAGATTGGCATAGGAACGGAACTGGTAGTGGGGAATTCCCAGATGAAACTCAGAATCATCCATGCCTGAAAAGCTATTGGACTATGTGGTCTGAGCCAAGTGGTAGACAGGGAACCCAGGTACGGAAACTGCCAGGAACTTGGAAAAGGTCTGAACTTATTCAAGGAGTGGTGCCAAATAAGGAGGTGCTGGGGATTGTGAGGGTGTGTGGGGCTTGAAAAGAAATGGGAAGTAAACCCAGAGTTCCAATGGTCTCTACCCAGGCCGGACATTGAATGAAAGAATGGTGTTGGCTATCCTGGGACCTTTGTCCATTACACCCCAAGGGAATAAATATATACTTGTAGTGGCTGACTGTTTTTCAAAGTGTGCAGCAGCATATCCCCTTCCTGATCAGGAAGCTCAGATGGTAGCATTTGTCAAGAGGTTTGTATGCTACCATAGACACATGCCTCAGCCCCTGCATGCTGATCAGGGAAGAAATGTTGAATTCCCTTTGTTCAAAGATGTGTATGACCTTTGGGAGATCCACAAAAAATGAACTACACCTCATCACCCCCAATCTGAGAGGTTAGTTCAATGATTCAATCACACGTGTGTTGGTATGCTGCCCTCTCTGATTGAAAACAATCAGATGAGCTTTCCTCCTATGTTAGGATGGCCTAGTGAAGCAGTGTCCAGGCATCTACAGGATATACACCCTATACGATGTTATTTGGTGGAAGATCTGCCTGCTTGTTGAACACATATTGGGGTAGATGTATTGGAAGAGTTAGAACATTAGCATACTAAGTCAAACCAATGGTCCACCTAGCCCTGTAACCTGTCTCCAACAGAAGCCACTACCATAGGTTCAGGGGAAGTGTACACAACAGGACAATTCTGGAGACATCCAGCTGGCTTCCCCTCCGGGTTTTTGGCAGTCTGAGGTTTTGGGTCACCTCAAGTATGGGGTTACAGCCCTGACCATCTTGGCTAATAGCCATTGATGGACATACCCTCCACTACCTATCTAGTTCTTTTTTAACCCAGTTATACTTTTGGCCATCACAAAATCCTATGGCAATGAGTTCTGTGGGCCAATTGTGCATTTCCTCTTGTTTGTATTATATCTGCTGCCTATTAATTTAATCAGGTGACCCCTGGTTTTTGTATTGTGGGAAAGGGTGAATAACACTTTGTTCACTTTTTCCATACCATTCATGATTGTATAGACTTTTATCATATCCCCCACTCCCTTAGTCATCTCTTTTCTAAGCTGAACAGCCCTAATCTTTTTAGTCTCTCTTTGTACGAAAGCTGTCCCATATCCTTGATCATCTTTGTTGCCCTTCTCTAAATCTTTTCCAGTTCCACTATATCCTTTTTTGAGATGGGGAGATCAGAGCTGAGCACAGTATTCAGGGTGTGGGAGCACCATGGATTTATATAGGGAGATTATGATACTTTCTGTCTTATTTTTTCTCTCTTTCTTCATAGTTCCTAACATGGTTAGCCTTTTTGACTGCTGTTACACACTGAGCTGAAGTTTTTGGAGAAAACAAGTTTAGCAATCCATCCAAGTATGTCACACAGGTAGCAGGATACTTGAGTTCTGTGAGCCAGGCTGCGAAGAGGATTCAGGCTATGGCCACACAAAGAATACTACAATGCCCGGGTCATCAGAGAGGTGTAAGAGCTAAGAGACTCAGTGTGGGTATGAGACCAGACTAGAAGGAAGGGGCAGGGTCCAAAATTACTCAGAAAGCTTAATGGTCCCTTTTACAGGCATCAGGAAATTGTCTGGGATGCTACGTGAGCTGTCCGGGGAGCCAGGTCAATAAACTTTTGTGGCACATTACAACCAGTTGAAGCCCTCTGTGAATTCAGGGCAGGGACACTGAGCCCACACAGGAGCCCTGGGTGACCACCCAACCTCAGGCAAAATACTCTCAGGACTGCTGTATTGCAGATCCCCTGCAGTTCCTACACACAAGGAATGTTCCTGAGTCAGAAAGCTTAGAGTGGGTACCTTGGCCTGATGAAGATGGGGATCGTGAGTGTGAGCAAACCCCCGAGGTGGTGTCATGGTAGGGCTCAGCAGGGGGGCATTCCCAAGACTCACCCCAGCCACCAGTCTCAAAATCCCAGGGCAGACCGGAGCAGGTGCACAGACTGGCTTAAGGACTATCTGAAGTAGCTTCAGCAGGATGCAGAGGCACATCATTTTAGAAGGTGGGAGTGAGGGATAATGTAATAAACCAGCAGGTGGCACCTAAATGTGAACAGCTACATCATGGGAGTCAATGGCCTAGAGGGGCAAGACACTGGAGGATTCCATGACAGTGGGGAGAAGCTGGAGGGATTTGCCATCCTGATAGTAGTGTGTGTTTTGGGGGTGAGGGAGAGAGTTCTGTGGGAGGAGGAAGGACTGTGTTGCTCTGGGCAGGGGTGTGAATGAGCCCAAGAACAGGACTGTCAGAGACGGCTAGACTGGAACTGGTGATGAGCACTGGGGACTCAGGGTTGCATATATCCTGAGGATGGGGGAAGCATGAGTAGCCATGGAGCAGCAAATCCCACCAGGCCAAAGGCCCAGACTGAGCAGCCACTTCTCCAGGCTAGTGCATCCCAGCTCTACGGGCATCCCTGGTGGGAGTGGAGGGCTCAAGTGTGTGGGTGTGGGGTCAAGGTTTTGGGCACCTGCGGAGGTAGGGGAAGGGATGGTGCTATTATCTCACTTGTTGAATTGACTTCAGTCCCCCATTCCCTTTCAGCCCATGGGTCTGTACTCATCCCCTGGCCTAATTAAATGATCTCAGAACTCTGTGTGCACATGGGTGTTTTTGTGGCAGGGGTTTCCAGATCCATGTAAGCAAAGCAGGTCTATGCCTGACCTGAAGAGAAACAGGTGCAGACATGCTACCTTTGGACATCTACCAGATCCTGTGTCCAGCACCCAGAAGGGGGTAGGTGGGTTGGTACAATGCTTTATAGCAGCAACTGTTACTTAATGGGGCTGACAATTATGCTTAATGGGGATACCCTTCAAATAATTTAGGAGCACTTAAATTTTTTGGGGTTTTAATCTCATGCTGGCTCTAGTTACTGCTCAAACAACAGCTTTCAGTCGCTCCATAGCTACGATACGTTTTCTGTGTACATCAACTGTTTCAGTACTGACTGCTCCTGGCAGTTGTTTTACTTCTTTCATATTAACTGCAGATGATGGGTATCCATGCCAGTTGAATCCTTACTGCACCTACCAGCCATGTTAATTTTTGCAGGCTCTTATCAGCCTTCAGTAATTGAAAATTTCTGCACCGTGAAGTTAGTGTCGAAATGGTTGTTTTGTCTGTACACGTACATGACTGCAAGTCATGCAGCAATTCTATAACTGCAGAGGTTGATTTGGAGGGAAGTTGATGACATTTTTGGTTGTAAAATCACAAATGGCAAGAAACAAGTGATTAGTTGGAGAGCTGACAAAATATAAAGTTCTCTCTTTCCAAAGAGAAAACTTCTGCTTTGCATCTGACAGCAGTTTATTAATAAAATACCTGATGGATTTAACATTTTTTAGACTTTGAAAGAGCAACAGTGTGGCCAACACCATTAGTGATTTTGAGTGTATCCAGGGTTTGAAGCACCTTGAGGGTCTGGTTTTCAGAAGGTTGGACCTCAGCATTTTCTGAAAATCAAAGCCCTTTAAGGAGTCATAAGTTGGGCACCTAAGAACTGAAGCACCTGGAAGCACTAGTCCCTTTTTGAAAATCTTGGCCCAAGGTTGATGACACAATTTAACCTTGTTGGTTTGGCCACATGTTCAACTCTCAGCAAATGCATGTGGAAGCCACAGAAAGCAACCACTCACTGTGACATTGCACCAGTAAAGGCAATAGGATAAAGAGTCTTTAAACTAGATTCCTTTTTCCTATGTTTCACAAGAATAGCTGCTTGTACAACGTACCATCAGCATTCCCTCCCTAACCTGGCGAGCGCGATCATTCAGCTGGAATTCCAGTTCAGAAACCTCATGACGAACAGCTTGACGTAATACCTGCAGTTGTCTTTTTTCCTCCCTGTAGTAGACAGCAGAAGAAAAACAATCAGGTAAATAGTGATGCTCCACAAAGCATCCATTTCTTATTCACGCAATTAATACAGTGTTGTTTCATACACAGTACCACAAAACATTCTGCAGTCTAAATAATAACCTAACAATACTAGCGTCCGTTCGTTTTCTGCATTGCAGTATGCAGGCCACAGAACTCTGAATAAAACTGAATACAGGCCCAACTGTAAAGTCTTTCCTTTCTCTTCTAACCTTTCTGTATAGTAATTCATGGGGAATAACCATTCAGTCGTACAAAAACACTCCAGGGCACTAGTTCTCACTGCAGACAACCCAACTAAACAGATTTGGAGCCAGCCATTTTGAGTTACGACAGTACAAAAAAAACAAAAACAAAACAACCGAACAAAAAAAGACATACCTTCCAGCCTCCACCCCTCACTTCAAAGTGCTCTTCATTCAAAAATGCCTTGTTTGATTAACTGCTATCTTTCCCCAAACTACCCTCCTCTGCCAAGCGACTGCACATGAAAAATTTCAGCCAGAAACAAGTTTTATTAGAAGGAAAGACTTATTTTTTAAAATTAGGTGGATAATGGAGACTGTTTTACAATCTTGATGATGGTGTTACTACTCTGATTCGAATACAGTGCTTCCTTTTGTTATGGCCCAATCTGTATAACGTCCTCATCATCAATCCCTGCCCTGCCCCCCACAAATGTTCATCTGGAAAGCTGAGGTCAAAATAAATGAGATCTATTGCAAATTATGCCTGTATTTCCATTGTATTTTAAGTCATTTTAAACTAAAATAGACCATATTTTTAATTTTAATGTTTCTGAACATTGAAATTAATGGAGACAAGTCATACTTTTCGATGGACACAATTACATAAAAAGTCTTTTTCACTTGCAGGGTGGGCACAATACATGCACAATACCCATGATGGCAACTTCATGATTGGGGATGTCATACTCATGAGGAATCCCAGCCACTGAGTCTGAGAAGTATCAAAGAGAGTGTACGTTTGTTGGTACATATTATAAATCCCTTCTGTAAACCTAACCTTAAAGCAGCACTATGGGTTGGATAAATGGATAGTAATAAAGTAATAAAGAACAATTGTACACTGACTTCTGTGTTATACAGTAAAAATGTTAAGTCTGAGAGTTGGCACATACAGCAAGATGCTCTGCACACACACTCAGGGTATAGCTGGTCCAAAATGTTGCTTTTTTAATGACCATAATGTGTGTGTTGCTGTAGTGATGTAATTACCTTCCTTCAGCTGACATAGCACTGGGAAAAAGATCCTGTTGCTCTATCAGGTGCTGCTCAATCTCATCTAGCTTCTCCCGGAAACTCTGGCAAGAACTCTTCATAGCTTCTATTTCATTAATTGTGCACTACGAAGAAGAACAAGAAGAGGGACTACTTCATTACCTTCCTTTTAATATTTATCATACTGACAGCCCAGGAGGCAGCAGTCCTATTCTCATCCACAGAACAGGTACATCATAAGCAGGCTTGTCAGGTATTCATAGGTATAAGCTCCCAGATAACAAGTGAGATGACTTCTGAAGAATATAAACGATCAGCTCTTCTTTCTTAAGTCACGTAGGCCTCCCCTTGAAGTCAATGGAAATTTTGCCCTTGTCTTCAAGGGAGACAGGATGTTGCCCATAGTTTTGATACAATGGGTCAAATTCTGAGCTTAGTTATACTTATGTAAATCATTAGCACTGACTAGAGTTGCCCTGGATTTACATCAGCATCATCAAATGAAGAAGTTTGCTCCATGTGTCTGATTTGAAAGACAGGTTGAGCACTGTACGTCTGGAACCATCGTCACGTTTTCTTGACCCACCATTTGTAGACGTTAACGTTGAGCTGACTTTTATATCACTAGTGGAGGCAAAAGGATGAGTAAAGTTGAAAAAAGAGGATCAGATATTGATAAGAATAAAAATAGTAACTGCAATCGCACTAGCTAGGATAAAATTCCAAAGGCTATACAAGTCTTTTGGGATTCAAGCTGGCATTATGACATATATAGCTCAGTTCTCTCTGTGCCAAAAGTCTGCAAACATCACAATTCCCACAGATTTGGTCATTTGCTCAAAGCTGTTCAAATAATGTGTCATACAAATATATTTCAGCCAATACATTGCTCATCAACTGTCCTTGGCAAATATTGCTTCGAGTATCCATTATTAACTATTTGACATTTGAACCGTTTTGACAGGACACACGATTTCTGTCCCCAGACTGGATGAGTGTAACTCTTGGAATCAGGTTTCCAAGACAAATTCAAAGTTTGCTTTTTGCAGAGAGTTTGCAATATTTGTTCACAAGTCAATGTTTTGGGGAACATTCCTGCCAGTAACATTGCTTGATAGAATATACAAACACGGCCAAAGCACATTTGTTTATAAAGAATATAAACTCTCCTACTTCATGGCAAAAAAGTCAATCACTAACTGACAGGATCTAGAAAAAAATTTCTACGGGCAGATTACTCCATAATCGTCCACTCCAGGTTCTCTCTTGCACAAGGTATTGGTTTGAATGAACTGTCTTTCTCTAATATGGCAATTTGTATGTTTGTATCTTTAAAAATTCAAATAAATATTTGGAAATAATGTCTACAGTGTTTCATGTCTAACTGTGGTCATTGATTGGTATTGGGAAGTAATTTCCCCATAGCACAGTATTTCTCTGGGGACATTACATTTTTCCATTAAAACTCTAGCATGGGCCTCAGTTAGAAACGGGATTCAAGACTAATTGTTTAGATCAGTTATACATTTGAGTAAATAATCAATGGATCACTGGTATGTTCTGCTTTGGCGGTTCCTGCGCATCAAGATGTTATGGAACAGTCTATCCACAACGGTAAAGCTTGTCTGTGCATGAGATGGAGCTTTCTCAAGGCCTGGTTCAAAGGTGTGGAACCAACTTCCATGGGATCTGCGAACTACCTCAAACCTCACAACTTTCCATGCCAAGATCAAGGTGTATTTCTTCTACCTGGACTTTGCTAATATAAAGACTTAGCATGTCATATGTTAAAAAATGTAATTTCCCCTCCTAGGGAGAGGATGAGAGAAAGAAAGAAAGAAAGAAAGAATAAGACATCAAAAATGTCGGTCATGTCACCTAATTCACTGCTGTAGATCACTCAAGTACCTCAGTGATGGATATGGTATAAGAACATAAATAGACTAGAATGATGTTATGACCACTTTGGAAAACCTAACCAAAACATTTTTTTTAAAGTTGTGTTAATCAGCAACTAAGCCTCCAAAAGGTATGGAAATAAAGTGTTTCTGTTGGGAAATAATTTCCTTGCACAAGAAAATGTCATACCCAGACGAATAAAATCTAAACATGCAAATTCAATATAATCTGATGGCTATTTGCAGTTAATATAGATTTTGATTACTTTTGTGGGGATGACATTGATGACGTTTGATTAACACTGACTTCTGTCAAGAACGATGTTGCAGTTAATATAGATTTTGATTACTTTCGGGAGTTTCTCTTGTTCTAGCAAATGTTTGATGATTAAATCCCTTGACAGGCTGGGCTAAAGATTACGGACCAAATCCTGTCGTGTAGAATAAAGCCCACATACACAGGATTTTCTCCATATGAAGAAGTGAGGAGCAGAATCTTCGACTTTGTGCAGTGGAGCAGTACCCGCAATTCTAAGACACAGGATGTAGCCGCTGATGCAACCTGCTGCTACTCTCCCTGCAACTCCCCAAGATTTTAGGCCAGTAAAGCCTCAGACCCACTGACTACACACCAGCATACCTAATGCTTTCCAATTTACATGGGTATGGAGTTCCACTGAACATCAAGCTAGGAATGTTTTCTGACCCCCCCACATGGGTTTTCCTACATGTCCCTTACACACAACTCACATAATCCCAGCTTTCCCAGTCGTTTGGGTCCTTCCTTGATGCAGGGGCTGGATTTCACATGATTAACCTCAGACAAGTGCCAGATTTAACACATTTTTGCTTAAACAACAGAGCTTGAACAATAGTGTAGTGTGCAGTCAATGCCCGCAGTATCCTCAGTCTCAGATTATTGAAAAAGCATCACTGTTAATCCTTCACCACCATCACAGGAGTGATAAAATAAATTGGACAATGTAAATTCAGCTGTAATGTACTAAAACACTGACATCTTGTGGCAATTGAGAGACATCTCACAAAATTCATAGCCCTCCAGCAAACAGTTTAAAGAAAAGCCCCCACAGTACTGATATAGTCAATAACATGAAATTCATCAATTTCAGTTCATAGGGGTTAATCTGTTTTCTGTACTTTTGACCCACTTGTGGTTACAACATCCCAAGTTTCACTTTGAGTTTCAGGTTCAAAGGAAGAAACTCATTTGAAACCACCAAGTTTGCATAGTTTCAACACAAAACCAGGAGAAACATTCACATTTCTCATGGTGCAGAAATATCCATCGGCCCAGCTTTTCTCAGAAACGTTGTGAGCTTTCCAACAATTCTAGCTGGGCTGGTTCATGGGGGCCTAGGGCAAAATCTGAAATGGAGGCCCCCAACCCTTCTAAAAAGCCTGACAACCACCCCCCGGCACATAACCACCTACACCCAGCCCTCCCCCAGGAGCCTCAGCCCTCAAGGGAGCTCTCCTGCCTCCCCATCCCACTCCTTACCTTACCCCTCGGGTGTTGGGTCCATCCTGCGTCCCAGCCAGTCCCCGAGAGAGCCACCATGGTTTTGGTAGCGAGCAGGTGAACACCTGGCACGTGGCACACTGCATGCAGGGGCTGCTTTACCCATAGGGGCACTGCAAGCCTGAGCACCAGATCTCAGCAACACACACTAAGTTTTGGCTCAGCTGTCCCCCACCCTCTGTCATGACCAACGGGTGGCTGGGCCAAACCTGAGCAGTGCTGCAACCCTGAGTGCCATGTTGAAATGCCACTCACTACAGTTTACCTCAGCTGCCCTGCATCATATTGTTCCATGGATTTCGGGTGCCTCTCAAACAAGTGAGGCCCTCCATCCCTCAGGTGGCCCTGAATCCTCAGTTTTGAGTTTGTAAAAAAGTGACAACCTGGTGACTTTTTGTAGTTTCAGTTCTTTTTGCAAACATTTCACATGGTTCTGATGGCAAGTACAGCTTTAGGTTGGCTAAGGGTATGTCTATGCAATTAAACACCTGCAGCTGACCATGTCAGCTGACTTGGGCTTGTGGGGCTCACGCTACCAGGCTGTTTAATTATGGTATAGACATTTAGACTTGGGCTCTGGGACCCTGTGAGTCAGCTGACCTGGGTCAGCCGCAGATGTTTAATTGTAGTGTAGACATACCCTAAAATGCTCCCTATTTTACCTGGGTCAGATTTGCTGAGATACTGGGCACTCACCATCCACTGCTCAGCCCCTCTGAAAATCAGGGCTCAAAAGTATCATATCAATTTTATTGAAATCAATGAGTCTATTCATGGGATGATTGGGTCATATGGGATTTCACCCTTATTTACTCAGTATATAGCAGCATGTATAAATACCAAAGGAGGGCATTCTGCATCTTCAGACATAAAGTGGTAAAGCTGCATAAGTTCACAGAAAACCATAAAGTTTCTCTTTGGTTTCAAAACGCTGGCTGACCTAGTATTACTATATAAATTTGACTTGTTTTTCTACAAACCGTTCCCTCCCTTTAGCCATTTCTAAATTATTTTTTGCCATGGGTAAGGGCCCTGATAAAATAAAGCTACAGAGCCAAAGAGAGGTGAGTCTGAATTAGTGTAACTTACTCTATCTGCTGGCCCCTTCAGTGTGGAAATCACAACTACTTAGGTTCTTTTTTGGGACTCAAACTCACTTGGCCAAATTCAGAGTGGTGCATAATGGTATATATATTGATAGGTAGATGTGAGTTTAAGGAAGGCTGACTGGGTTTGAGAGAGTGTAAGACCTGATTTGCAGTGCACACCATTTTTGTACTGGTATAACTATTTCATTTAGGGGTGTGACTTCCCCCCCTCCTGCCCCACTGAAATAGTTATTCTGGTACAGCTCCTAGTGTGGATGCAGTTATATTGGTACAAAATTGCCTTATACCAGTGCAGTTTATTCCCTTGTCTGGCTGGGAATAAAGCCGTATCAGTAAAGGCACTGTATAACTGCAGCCATATTGGGGAGGGAGAGGTTGTACTGCTTTATATATACTGGTATAGTTTAAAGCAAAACAACTTTTTATGTAGAGAAGCTCTCAGGGAACCCAGATTGGTAGAATTTATACACTGAAGAGAATGGAAGCAGCAGCAAGTAACAGCAGCTCAGACTCATCTCTGAATTTGATCTGTGTAAACCTTATTCCTCCAGCTCATCTTGGTCAGTTGTTAACCTAGCAGGTACGATTTAAATACTCTCAACATTAAGAGAAGTAGTCGAACACAACTTAATTTGGGTCAAAGTATATTTCTGACATTCCCCCAATTTGTCCAGGATGGACTGTCCCTTCTTCCCATCTGTTTCCTAAGCTACATTCCTGACACTTTCTCTACAACACTGAACAGAGTGGACAGTGGACCTTGAAATAACTTACACCGCAGGCGTTTACTCTCCATGCGCCAGATTCTATGTATTATTTTATCAAGAAACATACTTACTGGAGAAATACTCCTCACTGCTGTATCCTGCAGGAGCTCTAATGTTTTCAAAAGCTGCAACTCTATGGTCATGTGATTTGAACAACAGGCTCCAGGATGTTTGGAGGAAGCAGTGAAGGGAAAGGCCCACTGAAAGCAGCAATGATGGCAGCAGACACAATGACAGCTGTGACCGCACTGGGCAGGCTGGGCACCCAATGTTTGATGATAGGATGATCTGTATTTCCCATAAAGCCCAGTGTCTAGGGAGACTGATTTTGTGAGATGACCATGTCTACAGAATGGAGGGAGAAGATTTGGGTCAGACCACTGATTTCGTGTTTTTATTCCAATTGTGTCAGTTTGAATTGAAGCTTCCCTTGTCTCCTTTAGACTTTCCTTCAAAGTAGCCAGTTGTGAAGTAATTACTAGCTCACTCTCAGAGCACTGGGACTCTATGGATTTAATTTCTAAAGACTGGCCTTTGCCAAGGCCTTCACTCAGGGAAACTTTTTGCACAGTGGACACCAGCCTTGAAGCCATCTGAACAGTAACTGACTTAGAGGGGTTAGTGCGTATTTCAACATTTTGGACAGAATCATCCTTCTCCAATTTGGTGGCTCCTGATATTTCACCCAAACAGCAAGTCTCTGTGCTTTCCTGGGAACTAAATTCAGATATGCACTCTGGGCAGTAAGCAGAAAAGTTAGACACTTGTAAAAAACTGCTTGAAATAACCTTGCTTTCATTTTGTACTTGTGAGACCTGCCATTGGGTCTCTGGTGTCCCTGTTTCACAAGAGCAGCTTATACTGTTTATATCAGTGTCCAGTTTGCAAAACTGCTGACCACTTGTGGCCTTGGTGACTGGAACCAGGGTATCAACTTTACTGAAAATCTCCTTATCACATTGCTTTCCTTTTACATGTCCTGTAATACCTTCCTGGATATTTTCCTTAAATACTTTCCCAGCATCCTCCTCAGTCAAAGGTCTCTCTCTTGTCTCTTGTTTAGCGCAGGCTCCACTGCCAGTGAAGTCAATGGGAGTTGTGCCATTCTCTTCAGTGTGAGCTGGAGCTGGACTTTTGGGTACTGAACTGAAGTATAAATGACAGTCAAGTTCTGGGGTAACAATATCTCCTAAATCCTGACTACCAGCAGTTTGCTGTTGTATGCAGCTCTCCTCTTTCTCCAGTTGCCCTCTTCCAATTTTAATCTCCTGCTTATTCGGATCGTACACCATTTCTTTGACAAAATCCTCTGATTGATCACTGAAGGCTTGATTTAGACCATCTTCCACAATTAGTGAGAGGGCGGTCTCTTCCCTCTGGTCCTTGTGTTCTCTGTCTGGACTAGACACCCTTGAAATGTTCTTGCAATCTGCAGTGGAGGCGTTAGCAACAGGGCCCTTTGACTTTTGATGAAAATCCTGGTGTGACACAGCGAGAGCTGTTCTATGTGGCAGAGCTCCTTTTCGGTCATGGGTATCACAGCTAAGGTTCAGCTGTCCTGGAAAAGGTGGATTCTGCAAGGAAATGAGAAGACACTAAGCATATAATATTGCAATGCCATGGAGTAGTTTGATGAGATGGATAATGGGACTTTATCTTGAAGAATTTTTAAATACAAAAAGAACTCTTTTGTTTGGTATATGGTTAAGGGCTCATTGAAGTAAATAAAAAGGCTCTTGTTGACTTCACTGAGCTTTGGCTCAGGGAGTAATGTCACATTCCAGCCCTCTATTTTGAATTCTCATTAAAAGTTCTAGTTACATCTTACTGCACGTATTTGAATATAGGGGATTTGGAAACCTCAAATTGTGCTACTGCCTAGACAACGTTATGCTGAGAGATGCCAATGGCTGCCATTAAGGAGCTCTTTGATCCAAAAAGAAACTTGTTAAAGACAGGTGTGCCAACAAGCACCCATTTTCAGGCTCAGTGGCTCCTTTATCTGAAAGCAATGGAGGCTACTGTTCAGTACACTACGCCACACGGTAGGTCAGAGCTAAGCTGTATGGACAGTGGGGCTTCCTTGGATACAAACAGAGGAGCTAGAATATTGATTGCAGCTGAGTGTGGGCTGGAGACAGAAAGCAAGAGAAGCTGTTGCAAATGTGGCCCTAAAGGGATGCAGAGAGACAGAGCTTCATCCGCTCAGAGCTTGAGTTTTCACATTGGGCTATTTCTGAGTGAGGAGACAGCCTGCTGTTTCTACTGTGTGCAGGGAAGACTTTCTGTAAATCTTTTGTAAATAACCTAGATTACACCAAATAATATACCTGACTCACATCATCTCTTCCTAACAGATACAACCCAGCAAAGCCCTAAATGTTGGCTGACCACTTGAGCCAAAGGGGCAACAATACAATACAGTAAGATAGGATATAGGGTAGCCAAGGTGGAATAGTTCTACAAGGTATAATTTTGGACCTTACACATAGTAGTCCATTGGGGTAGAAAGTTTTTTTGTTTATGAAAATCTCCTTGTTTTCCCCACAGGAAATCTCAGGGAAATTCCATCCCCCTGTATTGCTTTATTTTTCATGAACCTGATAATTTTTGGGTATTAGTTTTAACTAATCTTATTGAAGAATATCACCAGCTCTTTACTTGTAAAGATAAAGGCTCCACTGGTTCTTCTAGAAATCCACTGCTGTCAGACTGGCAGCTGTTTGTTCTTGTCACCAGCACTTCTGCAGGGAGAAAAGTAGGGGAGAAAAGAAAGAGATTCAAACAGCAAGCCAGGATAAAAATCAGTAAATGCTTCTCAGTGGGTGAACTTTAAATGTTCATTCCTGTGCTAAGTATATTTCTGGTCCTAGTAGTATTGCTCTAAATCCAGTTATATGTCTACAATTAGAATGAACTATAAAGTGTGCCCAGCATAGCTGAAAATACCAGGGCAGGCATTTATTTAACAACAGGTATAAACACCACCTGCAGGTTCCATTTTACACATCTGTAAAACAAAGGTCATCATCAGCTGAACACTCGACATAAACTAATGTAAATCGTCAATAAACCACTTTTCCAATTGCTTCGTTATTTCACTTGCTAAAATTGTTGACTTTTGACAATTTCTTGATTATAAGCACTTTGGGTCAAATCCTACTCATCCTACTCACATGAACAGTTCCAATGATTTCAAGGGACAACTCGCATGAGTAAGGTGAGAGGGAGTTGGCATGTAAGACTATAAACCACATAAGTCTAGACTGAGATACCTTAAAATTTGTTATTTGTTACCGTGCCAGCACAATTTTGTTTCTCAGTGAATCCGAAGGAGATTAAAGCACCATTCATTCTCCATTTCCGTGCATACAGAATGAGGCCAAAATTTTAAAAGCAGTGAGTGATTTGGGTTCCTCACTTGTCAATGGCTATCTTACAGGTGCCAACTTGGGCACCCACAAAATGGATGCAATCAAAATCAGTGGCCACTTTTTGAAAATTAAGGCACTAAGGACAACTGTTTTCTCAGATATTTTGCTCTCCTCACTTGGGCAGAAGCCCTGACTCCCCCAACATTTACTCCCTCACTGGCCTGGAAACACTTCCTTGTCAGGTCTGAGTAGATCAAATGTTAACACTCCCTACCCTTTCCTCCAATGAAACGTGCTGCCAAATGCCTAACAGGATGTGGAGAACTACCCATTCTTTGCCTGTCCCCACTGCATGGCCTGTGACACTTCCCTGCAAGGAGCTACTCTGTTTTTCCTGTCAATTCATCTCCATCCTGATCTCAGCTTCTGATGTAACCTGCTTCTTCCTTATTGGCTCCTGATCTGAGGGAGCAGTCAGGAAACCACAATAACGGATAGAGGTCAACTTAGGATTGCACGCCAAGGCAGAATGGGGTTCCCAGGAGTGGAGTCATTCTGGACTTACTCCAGGCAACAGTTCTGATCCAGCCCAGCCTCCCAACAGCTACGTAACCCTCCCTTCTGTCAAACACAACACTTCCCACAACCTGTGGAAATCAACCATTTTCATCCCATTGTATGTGAAGTTACAGAGCAACAGCCGTGTTAGTCTGTATTCGCAAAAAGAAAAGGAGTACTTGTGGCACCTTAGAGACAAACCAATTTATTTGAGCATGAGCTTTCGAAAGCTCATGCTCAAATAAATTGGTTAGTCTCTAAGGTGCCACAAGTACTCCTTTTCTTTATGTGAAGTTAGTTACCTAAGGGTTAATTCACTGTTCTAAAAGCCATTGTAATTCCAGGGCAAGAACAATTAATACTCATTTTTGTGCATTAAGAAACACAAAACGCAGGAACACAAAAAGATGCCTTCACCCAATAGCCTATAATGAAATGTTTAATATATTCCATTTTGATGCTTGAACTAAAAAAGAGTGGACAATATTTGTAAGTGAAGGCAATTATAAAATCAAGACCAGACCATTGGTTAAATATTACAAATTCATAAACTATGGTATCTGTCTTCTTGTCACCAGCAGATAAACTGTCAGTTTAGCAGTTGTTGCCTGATTTCAAATGGGAATTGCCTGCATGTATCCTCCACAGTCAATAATTTGCATCAAGATTGCTCCAAAATTTCTGCTTTATGGGTGGTCTCCAAATCACAGTTCAACTTCTCCCATGAGAAAAATATTCCACCACTTCTCTAAACTTTTTTTAACAAGCTGTTTCAATTACCTTTTACACCTTAGCCAGCTGCTGCTGCTGATGTATCCTGCTGTCCTACATCCATTCACATTTATCAATAAAGAAACAAAAGCAGAGCATCATTTTTAAATGTAATAATTTTTCAGTTGCTGTATTCCCAATCTGAATTAGACTCAAACTGATGTCCTATATGAAAAAGACTCCCCATCCCAGATAGGGTCAGTCCACTGTAAGTTTGGAAATTCACACTGCTGTTAGAAGAACATATTATTTCATGTTACCTGTATTTGTTTGGGAGTGGTGATTATTAAGATGTTTATTCTTCTGCTGTTGTATGCGGGTTTTATAGGCAACTCATTGCTATTGGGAATTACATGGAGGAATCTTCTTAAAATTAATAGAAGGCTCAACCTTTTAGGCCCCCCCATCTACCAAGTTTGTTGTAACCATGTCATCACACTCTTGTATGACCCAATTTATAACAAATTGCATTGAGTTGCATCCCCATACAACTTTTCCCCCAACACAGCCATCAACTACTCAATCATGTTTGCACATCACCACTTATTATGCCACCCACCCTTGTTTGTAGCCATAAAAAATCTAAGAGTCCCTGAAAGGCGTGCACACAAGATGCACCAGCCAGATGGGAAGCAATGCACTGTGTGATAACCTTAATGCACGGGAGGAGGATAGAAGACTGACTGAGCTGACTACAGGTCAAAGTACAGCATTACAACCTAGCTATATAGGAAGACAACCATGTGCCTGCCTAGCCTGTTGGCAAGGATTACACATGCCTAGGTGCCATGATTTCCAACAATATATTAACTATGTTGAGTGTGGAGACAGAGCCAACTACGTCACTAAGGGGTTACAAACTGTGATATAGACGAAGGCTTAATGTCCATTTTGTGTCCAAATTCTGTCTTCTATTGTTTTGTAGTTTATTTAAATAAAAACTCTTTAGGACTGTGGTCTGAAAGCACCCATGGCTTGTTTAGGACAGAATGGGGGGCGGGGGGGAAAGAACTGCATGTTCAGGTCAGAACATGTTCAGGTTTCATGTTACATCAAATCACTGAAGTGACAGACTTATTGCAGGAGTTCTATAAGTGAAGACATAAAATTTTGCAAAGATGAGACTTTCTCTCTTGTTGGCCAGCAACTCAGGTTTTTCCTTTGCTTTTATCCATGCCAATATCTCTTTTTCTTCAGTGAGAGTCTGCCTATGACAAGACTATGTAAAATTTGAATATGAAACTCAGGGTATGGGCTCAAGGTGAGAATGGATTTTTTTTAAGAGATTACTGAACCATTTCCAAACCATTTTAACTTACACACCATGCATTTGGGAGAACTGGGACACATTATTGTTTTCAGGAAGAGGGGTTGCTTTGCAGTCTGTGGTCTTGTCAAAATTGGAAAAAAAAAGTTAGAACATAGAACCATAGGGCTAGAAGGGACTGCAAGGGTCATCTAGTCTAACCCTCTGTCAAGATGCAGGATTTGTTGTGTCTCAAATACCATCCAAGACAGATAGCTATACAGCCTCCTTTTGAAAACTTCCAGTGAAGGAACTTCCATGACTTCCCTAGGCAGTCTGTTCCATTATTCTACTGCTTTTACAGTTAGGAAGTTTTACCTGAGATTTAATCTAAATTTGCCGTGCTGTAGTTTGAACCCATTGCCTCTTGTCCCGCCCTCTGTGGCAAGAGAACAAACTTTTCTCCATCTTTCTTATGGCAGCCTTTCAAGTATTTGAAGACCACTATCATGTCACCCCCTCAATCTCCTCTTTTCCAAACTAAACATACCCAGTTCCTTCAGCCTTTGCTCATTCATTTCATCCCTTTGATCATCTTTGTCACTCACCTGTGGATCCTTTCCTGTTTCTCTACATCCTTTCTATACCTTGGTGACCAAAACTGGATACAGTACTCCCGCTGAGGCCTAACCAGCATCGAGTAGAGCAGTACTATCACTTCCTGTGACTTGCATGCTATGCCTCTGTTAATGTAATCTAAAATTGCATTTGCTTTAAGTAGCTATTATGAGGTAGCTGACTCTGTGTGAAACATCACTTAGCACTTAATGTAGACAAGGTTTAATGTCTTTACACTTGAGTGAGCAGTTGGAGGTGTCCTTTGGTCCCTGTGTTGTGGGTCAACTCTAGGCCTATGCACCACTTCATTTCACTTCAACCTTCAAAACAGGGCTGATGAATGAGCCCTCAGTTGAGGGTATGCCTTATGCTGGCTCTTTACACAGCAGTGGATTTTACTTCCTATGAATACTGTGGTAACTAACTTTCTTGCCAATGATAACTGTAAATTATTTAATGGCTACCACTGTAAGCAGGCTGTTAGCATTTCAATAAATTCCCCTGTATCATATATAATAATGCTGGCCTACACTAGGACACTGACACTTTGATAGCCCCTTAAATCAGAATTACTCAGTACACCAGGTTTCTATCGAGCATACAGATTGAGTATTCAAGATAGTTTGGCCCACTCCACATGAGCAGCTAAACTTTCTCAACAATGGTTGAAGGTCACCCAAAGGGGCACAAATTGTTGCCAGCAATGGTCATTCTCCTAGGGCTGGTCTACACTAAAGCTGTAAGTCGACCTACATTATGCTACTTCAGTTACGCAAGTTACGTACCTGAAGTCAATGTAACTTAGGTTGACTTACAGTGGTGTCGACACCGCACTGTGCTGACAGGAGACGCTCTCCCACCGACTTACCTTACGCTTCTCAGGGAGCTAGAGTACAGACATCGATGAGAGACTGCTCTGCCATTGACTTAGCTTGTCTTCACCAGACCCACTAAAATCGACACCGCTGCATCAATCGCAGCAGTGACCTCAAATGGGTGTTGTGTTTAATAATGCAAATAATGCTGGGTGAATGCAGCAAAGAAGTATCCAATACCATTCACATGAATTTTAAAATAAATTCACTTGGGCCATGATCACACCTCGTTTGTCTTTCATGAGCATTTGAATACTTAAGATTTATTGGCACAAATATTCATAATTTTTGAAGTTGAATGA